CATAAAGAAAGATGGAGACTTTAAATCTTTTGTATTTACCTAGAATGATTTGCAGAACATCATCTTAAGGAAAGTATGGCAAAAATGGAAAACCAAAGATCCAATGTACTCAATACTAATATGAAACTAGTAGATGAAAAACTACATGCCCACATGAAAGAAAAACACAATTAAATTCAAGAAGGGGGATGAGGGAGAGGGCTTGGTAAGCTCTCACCTAACGGGCAACATATAGAGGTATATGGCACATCTCTTGGGTGAAGGGCTTAACTACAGCTTTGGACTTTACCTAACAAATGCAAACAATGTAACCTCATCATATATACCCTTATAATTGAAATTAAAAATAGAAATTCTTTTTTTATGACTGGATAATATTCCATCATATAGTGGTGCCACAATTTTTTATTCATTTATTGGTGATGGGCATTTAGGTTGTTTCCAGTTTTTGACTATTTTGAATAATGTTGCTATGAGTGTTAATGTATACAATTCTTTTTTTTTTTTTGAGATCGAGTCTCAGTTTGTCATCCTGGCTAGAGTATAGTGGCATTATCATAGCGCACTTTAGCTTCAAATTCCTGGGCTCAAAGGATCCTGTTGCCTTAGTCTCCCCAGTAGTTGGGACTACAGGCATGGTAACCACACTCAGCTAAGTTTTCTTTTTTTTTTCCTTAGGGACAGAGTCTCACTATATTGCCCTAGGTAGAGTGCCCCGTGGTGTCATAGCTCACAGCAACCTCCAACTCCTGGGCTTAGGCAATTCTCTTACCTCAGCCTCCCAAGTACCTGGGGCTACAGGTACCTGCCACAACACCCAGCTATTTTTTGTTGTAGTTTGGTTGGGGCTGGGTTTGAACCCGCCACCCTTGGTATATGGGGCTGCCCTCTAATTTTTCTATTTTTGTTTTTGTGGAGATGGGGTCTTGCTCTTGCTCAGGAGGGTATTGAACTCCTGAGCTCAAGCGAGCCTCCCACTTTAGCTTCCCAGAATGATAGCATTATAGGCACATGTCACTGTGCCCAGCCCATATGCAAAATTTTGCATGGATACATGTTTTCACTTGTCTTAGTTATATGTGTAGGAATGGAATTGCTGGGTCATATGATTAAATATTTGGGGATCTATCAAACTGTGTTCTGAAATGGCCACACTCTTTTATATTCCAAGCAGCAATGTATGAAGATTTCTATTTCTTCACATCTTCACCATCACTTTTTGTCTATCTTTAATTTTTATTTATTTTTTAGATTATTTATTAAATCATAACTGTGTACATTAATGCATTTATGAGGTATAATGTACTGATTTGATATACAATGTGGAATGCTTACATCTAACTTATTAAGATACCCATCTCCTTGCTTACTTATTTGTTGTGGCAAGACATTCATACCCTATTCTTAATAGTTTAGAAATATCTCATTGCATTATGCACATTAGGTTAGGTCTCCTCAAATACCCTTCCTCCTCCTGGCTTCTCCCCTCCCCTCCTCTCTCCTCCTCTTCCTTCCTTCTTATGAATGTGTAGGTGATTATATATTGATTTCTTAGTAGTATTGAATACATTGGATACTGTTTTTACCATTCTTGAGATACTTTACTAAGAAGAATATGTTCCATCTCCATCCAGGTAAACATGAAAGATGTGAAGTCTCCATCTTTTTCATGGCTGCCTAGTATTCCATGGTGTATGTAGGCCACAATTTGTTAATCCATTCATGGGTCGATGGGCACTTCGGCTGCTTCCATGATTTGGCAATCATGAATTGGGCTGCAATAAACATTCTGTTGCAAATGTCTCTGTTGTAAAATGATTTTTGATCATCTGAGTAAATACCTAATAGAGGGATTGCAGGATCAAACACTAGGTCCACTTTTAGTTCCTTGAGTATTCTCTAAACTCGTTTCCAAAAAGGCTATATTAGCTTGCATTCCCACCAACAGTGTAGAAGTGTTCTCTTCTCTCTGCATCCTCGCCAACATCTATAGTTTTGGGATTTTGTTATGCAGGCTAATCTTACTGGAGTTAAATAATATCTCAAAGTGGTTTTGATTTGCATTTCTGTGATGTGTTTGTAGGCCATGCACCTGTCTTCTTCAGAGAAGATTCTGTTCAAATCTCATGCCCATATAGAAATTGGGTTATCTGTTCTTTTCTTATTGATTAGTTTGAGCTCTCTGCGGATTCTAGTATCAGACCTTTGTCAGAAGCATAACCTGCTCCTGAAAATATCTTTTCCCATTCTGAAGGCTATCTGTATGCTTTATTTAGTATGCTCTTAGCTGTGCAGAAGCTTTTTAATTTGATCAGATCCCAGTAATAAAATTTCGGTATTGCTTCAATTGCCCGAAGGTCCTCCTCATAAAAAAATTCTCCTATTCAATATTTTCAAGCATTTTTCCCTGCACTCTCTTCTAATATTTTTATAGTTTCATGTCTTAAGTTTAGATCTTTTATCCAGCGCCAATCAATCTTTGTTAATGGTGAGAGATAAGGGTCCAGTTTCATTCTTCTACAGGTCACCAGTCAGTTCACCCAGTTCCCATTTGTTAAATAGGGAATCTTTCCCCCAATGAAAGGTTTTGGTAGGTTTTTCAAAGATGAACAAGTGTCTGGTTCATCTCTTGGTTCTCTATTCTGTTCCATCAATCTACCTCTCTATTTTTATGCCAGTTCCAGGCTGTTTTGATCACTATGGATTTATAGTATAGCCTGAAATCTAGTAACATGATATCCCCTGCTGTGTTTTTATTTGAGTAGTGTATTTGCTATTTGAGGTTTTTTCTGATTCTATATGAAATGGAGCACTATTTTTTCAAGCTCTTTAAATTATGATGATGGTGCTTTAATAGGGATTGCATTACATCTGTAGATTAATGCAATGCTTTAGGTAGTATGGACATTTTAACAATGTTGAATCTTCCTAGCCATGAGGATGGTATGTTTTTGCATTGGTTAACATCTCCAGCTATTTCTTTTCTCAGAGTTTAATAATTCTCTTTATAGAGATCTTTCATGCCCTTTGTTAGGTAAATTCCCAGATATTTCATCTTCCTTAGCACTACTGTGAAAAGGAATAAAGTCCTTGACTATATTTTCAGCTTGGCTATTGTTGGGCTATAC